AGTACTCAGTATGTCCAAGGAAAAGAAACCCCGTGTGACAATACGAAAGAAAGGCACCGAATCACAGCACTGCAGGGGAGCAGGCTGTTGGCCAGAGCTCTCAAGGTTTTCCTCTGCCTTTCTGGATTCCTAGGACCCACATTCAGAACGGGAGAAAGGGCCTGGCTTCCTACCTCCAAACAGTGAACAAAAGGCCGTGACTCTCCAGCCAGAAGAATTCAGGTCAAACACTTGCAGCCGCTAAGAGATGCCCTGCAGTGACTGGCTTAGGGATGTATACCTTGCACATGCATGCACTCTGGGGGACGGGATTACGCCCTCTGAGCTCCTTGCCTGGCCCAGGGTGAGCAGGAGGGGCATTAACACCTGCGAGAATGGACAGAATCCATTTGAATTTCTCTGTAATAAGAAACAAACCATGGCCACCTTTCTAAAATAGACTCTGGAACTCAGAAAACTGCAGAAACAAAAATGGCCCATAATCCTGATGCTCTGATAAACATCCTTAGTGGTTTTTCTCAAGCCTATGGCAAAAAACGGAAAGCTGATGCAAAAATGTCTAAGACTAAGTGTCAAATGATAGCATGAAAGTTGGATTTCCCTGAATCTGATGATGGCAGCGTGGCTACAGAGAGAATGTCTCACTTGAACGATTTAGGGGTAGAGGGACGGGATTCCGAAACTGACTCTCAAATAGCTCAAAAGAAGAGGAAAGAGTCACACATACGCACGTGTGTGCACGCATGCAGAGAGAAACAGCAAAGGGGGCGACACGATAACGCTCGGCAAACCTGGGTTGAGGCTCGCAGTTCTGCACGTGAAACTGCTCCCAAAAAAGTGTGAATAAGTGACTGGAGAAACTGGTTTCCCACGACCCGCCCAAAACCAAAAGGAACTAAACCGCGACAGAAATCTGCTTTACCCTCCCCCGTGGTGGCCGGAAACTCCCGCTGAGCGCCTTCTGAGTCCCATCAGGAGAAAGCACAAAGCAGCATGTGTCCGTATAGCGATTTTTTTTTTTTTGAGTCGGAGTCTCGCTGTCGCCCAACTGGAGGGCCGTGCCGCTCCCGGCCACCGCAGCCTCGCCTGCCCGGCTCCGGCGGTCCTTCCGCCTCCGCCTTCCGCGTAGCCGGAACTACAGGCGCGCGCTGCCACGCCCGGCGGATTTTTTGATTTATTGTAGAGATGAGGGCTCGCTGCCCAGGCGGGTCTCGAACCCGCGG